CCAGACCTGCAATTATGCTCACAGGCTGCTATTTCTGTGAGTACACTGTATTATTTACTTTATTCCATGCGCTGTTAAAACATTTTAAATCAGAATACACAACAATTTACTTTCAAGAATTTCGTGCGCCACTGTTAAGCTTCGATTCCTTCCCACGGGTATGTGAATCAGTTCTCCCATCCATCTACAGTCTCTAGAGACTAAAAAAAGCTAGTTGCTTTTAAAAACCTTATTAAAACAAGAGTTAGAATAATAAAGCGAAACCTACTAAAATTTCGGAAACTTTTATACTGTTGGATTCTTTTTCGTTAAACATATTTTCGCAATAGAGCATTTACTTTTTAAATACATGCATAATAATAAAATAATGCAGTTCATTGCGCTTTCACGTGTCACGGTGCATTTATCAGGGGTAGAATGTGCTAATGTATGTAAAACATAGTGTTTATGAATGCTGCATAACAGAGATTGATTTTATCTGTGGAAATCTGTGGAAGAACGTTGCACAAACGTGATGTAGAAGGCACCCCCTTCATTTCAAGGATTACAATACTCAGATTTTACGACGTGGAAAAAATAGAGTACGTAGGCCTACTGCGTTTTGTGCATGTGAAAATCGAAACCTTGAAACACACAGCTACCGCTACACAGGGAGAGTGTGTGAAGGACGAGAGAGAGAGAGAGAGAGGGGGGGGGGGGGGGGGATGAGGTGGGGGCGGGGGGAGCCTGACCTGTTTTCCATTAAAGCCATATTCTCTTAAATAAACTCTCAGAATAATGCTGACAAAGAGGGAAAAAGTCTGTGCCATTTACAGTCAGACAACGTTCAGCCGAAGCTGCCGACGTCAGACAGGAAATTGCCCAATAAAGAAATATTAATAATTACATGTTCTGTTCTATTTATTTATTTTGTAGTTAGCACTAGAAGATAACAAACAATGGATAATACTAAGCAACTGTACTGATTTTAACAATATGGAATTTTCTTTCGAAAGTTATTCACAAAACTAATTTATATAATTGATTGTAAATAACCGGGAGCTATGGCAGGATTTACTAATATTCCAGAGAAACTGTAATTTTTATTGATTTTATTTTCAAGCTGAGAACAAATATTTATACTGTGAAAAATGTTAAACAACCCGGAGCAACTTGGATGAAGGGATGGACATGAACGACGGCCTGGATTTTATAATCATGCTCTGGGAAAGTTAGCCCCCGGCTGGGTGTGGGGGAAAGGAAAACGGGCTGTAACTGGCTCAACAGAGGAAGCGTGGCTGGGCACGACTCGTGCGTTATGCCATGAAAAGCTTCCGCGAGAAATGAGAGATAACAGGCTTTGCTGGAAGACAGACTTCTGGCTTGGAAAAATCAGAGAGGTGAGACGGATACTCTCGATGCTTTTTACCATGGGGAAAGAGTGGGCGTGAAAGGGGGGGGTGCAAACTGGGGATGTATAGGGCTTTGGGATAATGGGAGGGGTATGAAGTGGAGACAGTAGCACAAGACCTCAGACTGACATCCAATTTCGTCTTGACTGTGAAGACAAACAAACAAACGTCCCTGACCAGCTCTCATTGAAAGATACCCCCCCCCTCCCCCTATTAAACACAGGATGCACAAGGAAACCTTGAGGATACAGAGGAGGGGGCTGGATAACCCCCTAAAGGCAAAATAATTCAGGACTATTATGAGAGAAGAAGAAGCTGCTAGATTTTAGGGGAAGTGACTTTGACGGGAAAATCCTAATAAGTGAAGTAACGAGGCCTTTAGTGTGGCGTGAGACTGCCAGATTTTCTGAGGGAACTGCTAAACAATTAGCAGGATGTGACTGTCGCTCTCGCCTTTTAATTTGGACCACTCTCCAAATCAGGCTTCCTACAACTTCATTATCATCTCCTAAACTATTCCAAAGTTACTGTTTGGCTTTCGGTCTCACACCAAGCCTTACACAGGGGTTCTGCGTCTGCAAAGTCATGTAGGAAGCTAGTTTTTTTCTCTTACAATAAAACAGGAAAAGACTACCGGCCTTGCTAAATAAACTTCTACATCTAGCTATCGCTGACCATGTTTCTCATTCAGGAGTCATCCATCCAGGAAAAAATTCCATGCTAACAATAACCATTATGGACCTTTGCTGAGTTATGTGAACCATCTGTTGAAGCGGCCAATCTTCTTCCATAGCTACAAAGTCCAATTTCGATGCTTTCGTGCCCATTGTAGGTGCTTTCGCCGATGAAAAGAAGTTAGCATGGGTCTGTGGCTAAGCTGCTTCGTATACCACAGAGCTTGATGCACTGTGGGTCGTGACACATTATTCCCTTGACCGTCTTCAGAATTATCTGCCATTTGTGCCCTTCTGTTGGTTCATACCACATGGGATAACTTTCATTAACATCACGTATTGACAAGTCTTGGCGGGCCAACACCCTGTCAGCGTATCATGGTTTCTCCTTATTCAAACCACTTTCAGCAGATCCACACCAAAGCTGTCCATAATCACTCCATAAGCCTTGGCGTTGTCTGACCCAGTTGTTTGGCCATAATGGTCAGGCCCTTATTAAAGTCACAGATCATTACCACTGTCCATTTCATCTGCATTGAACACGACAACTGCGAGTACCAAATGCTGCTGTACCCTCTGTGTCCCAGAGCTTGACATTAGTGTATGTGATATGTGTCTGGCCATAATGTCTCCTGCATCCTCCATTTGTGTTTTCTGATCTGACTCTTTGTCCGTTACATTCTCTTGTTCAGTGCAGGAATACTGCTACTCTGTTGACTCGCACACGTGTGTCTTCAGCAATCGGATTTCCTGCGACAGTCCGTCATTCTGCTTCAAAAACAGAGCCTGGAAGTCTGACTTTGTGCCTCGAGGAAGCCGTCATGCATATCCACTTCTCTATTATTACAGTATGGTTTAAACCTCACGGCAGAACGCAGTCAACGTCGCTCTTACTGCCAAGCTTAGTAGAAAGATGTTCATTTAGAGCTACAGCGTCCATTTGAAGCTTACTTCCTGCAAACAAACAAGAGAAATCCAGCCAGGAACACTTCCTTAGATCACAAACATGCACGTATTACTGACAACTTCATCTTCAAATCATTTCTATTCTGGTAAAAAACATTGGCTTGATATCCTATGATATTAAATGATCATACTTGTAATTAATGTCAATGGTGCAGCGACGCAGGATTTAGTAAACTGAGCTATGATAAAAGAAGGAGAATGCACATGGGTTGTTCTCACGTGGTTCTATAATGACAAGTCACAGTCTTTGTTAACGTTCCTGTCATGTTTGGGAGTCTGTTCTCTGGCGTCTTCCCTCTTTAATGTTGCCCAGACACCACAGTTCCTACATGATTATATGCACACGTCGCGTCAGATACAAGCAGCAAGCCGTGGTTAAACACCCATGATCTAAGTAGGAAAGCAGGTCATCTCAACGCAGATTGAAGAAAACTGATATTTTTCATCAAATCCAGTGCATAATGTTACTGTGGTTTTCCTTCTGCTTTGTGTCGTAGAAAATATTAGCTTTTTTCTCCCTGCTCATAAATTTCTTTATTTTTTTTCTAGAGCTGAAATGGCTACCAGATGTGGATGCAATCTCGGCCTGTTTCCATGGCAACCAAGGGATCTCATTAGGCTTCTGGGCCTAGACTGCTGGCTTTGTTACAGGGCTCAGTTTTAAGGCCTTAGCTCTTTCTAAAGACCTGGCATTTGATTACAGGCCAAGTTCCAAGATATGTTTAGACTGGCAGTCAACAAGTCATTTCAGTTCCTTTACACCCTTCCCTCCTCCGCAAACATTCAACTACCATATCTGGAAGTTGTCCTGTATGGGGCCTTTGTTTGCATTTTATCATTGGAGATTCAGTTCAAATCTCTGTAATCCCCAGCAAAAGGCATATTTTTGACCCTACAGAAGCCCAAATACAAATCAGAGTAAGGTCAAGTGCAGAGTCATCAAAAATAGTTTTCAGCCTATGTTTAAGTAGTAGATAATAACTATCAAACAGCTTAATATCTGATTTGAATGTCTTACAGAGGACCTGACTGCTGTAAATGTAGACTAGCTGACTGGTACGGAAAAGTTTCATCTCAATAAACAATTTACCTTCCCACTGTCGTAATCTAAATAGTTCCTTTTCTTTTTTAATGTAGATCTGGTGTAAACTAAACCATGTACAGCACGGAACGCCAACATCAACACTTCAGAAGTGTCTTGGATGTCAAGCAGGCAGCTAGAAGTGAAATTCGAGGGGTATATTTGTCATCAAGAAACGGCATCCTGGCCATCTGTGAGGTGATGTACATCGCCTCTGTCCTTTAACCGTGCTGCAGTCTTTGTAGCAGGCTTGTGCTGTGGACTCTTATGTGACGTCTGGGGTCTTCTCACAGTTCCTGATGTTGCAGCTTCATAAGGGATTGTTTAGTCTATGCAACAAAAAAAAAAAATGTGGGGGAGGAGCCTAATTGAAGCGTCGTGTTAGCAGCACAAGCTTCCACGTCTGGATTCAATTATAAACCACATGATCCATGCTCTGGCTATTGCTTTTTCTCCCGTGCCCCCCCTCCACATATCCACTGCATGATGCATTAACTGCAAGCCCCTCCGTACAGAGTTCCGACTGTTCTGCCGTGAAAGAAGCCCTTGTCCCAAAGAAAAGCCCGGCAGTGGGTCCGCTGGCTCTGGTTTCTTTTGACGGTCCTGGGTCAGACCAATGTGAAACCCCCCCCCACCCTCCGGCTCGAACAGGTCCCCGTGTCCCCAGAAAATCCTGCCAGGAGTCTCCAAGAAGCTGTAAAATGGAAGTTATTGTGGGAAGGTGTTTGATTTCAGGATGTCAGAAGGATCCTCACCCAGTCCCACGATGAGTAAATCTGGCAGTTGGTGTCTAAAACATACTGTACAGGTGGCGGCCAATTCATATACACTGGTTAATTAATGAATTGAAAACAAGTTCTGTATTAAACACATTATTAAGAAACCATGTGACAATGCATACACATTTGTTTTTATTTTAGCAATTAAAAAAAAACACTGAATCAATTACAAGGTAGAACGACAAAAGACAGTGGACAAACCAACAGAAACAATGAAGATAATGAGACTGGCAGTCTTGAGGCCATGTTGCACAGGTGCTTTCAGACACGAAGTCCAGAAATTTATTGAAGCTAGCTAAATATGTAGTCACTTCTCAGCCTTCCATTATGTTTCCGTATGACTTTTACAGATATCAGTGAAACAAACGTATTTTAGTGGCTGTGGTTATACTGTAATATGCGCAGGAAGAATGTGACAGTCCTTACAACAAAAATGGTAACAGAAACAATTAAAAAAGTAACATACCCTATGCCATAACAGCTGTTATGTTAGAAAAAAAAATCATTTAACCTCAAACTGAAAGTAGTAACATCTTCAGCACAAGAGCAGGAACTTCCCAGCAAAACATATCTGTAGTAAACGATGTAAAGTACGTTCTCATTCTTAAAGCCAAAGTTATTTTTAAAGGAAATAAAATAAAATATGAAAGCCAGTTCATAGACAAAAAGTAACACGAAGTAGCAAATCAAATCATATAAGCACAGCTTACACGTATTAACAATAATACTGTTCCGATTTTTTTACAAGTACAAAAATAATAATAAGGGTTGTAATGTAGGAAGTACTTGTACCATAGAAACAAAACACAAAAACAGAGATCAAAACATTTCATTAGCATTTACAGGGACTTTTAGTTCCAAACGAAAGCCTAACGACATACACTAAATGCCTCTATGTTAACACTTCAACAGGTATTGTGAAAATTTTTTTTAAAACACAACCACAAACTAGTATCAAAATACACTGTGTTCAACACTTTGACTATATCCAGTTTACCGAAAGAGCCCGCCTATTTTACGTGCTTGTGTGTGTGTGTGTGTGTGTGTGTGTGTCTGTATGTGTGTATGTATATAATTTCAATAACAAGTGCTTATTATTCTCCAAGAAAGGAGAAAAAACTATTTAAAAAGCTAATGTTAAAAAATATATTTCCTAGGCAAATAAAACAGACCCTGGATAGTTTTATTTGGGTTCGGGTTTATTAGTGAATAAACCATTTCTGATTATTCGCTATAGGCCTAAACATTTCTGCCAGAACAGAAATGTGTTATTTTGTATGTAAAGGTTTTGAATGCGTGTAAATGTCTCCCTCACGGACTCGCTGGAGGGGGGAGGTCGGTGTCTGTGAGCAGCTGTTTTTCAACTTAACAATACATCCCCTTACAGTTTTTCAGTAGGGTGTTCAACAAATGCTGATGGAATGGTCAAGGCTTGTTGATTTTGGCATTTAATGCATTCAAGCTATTACAAAGCATGGTGGAAACAGAAGAAGTGACTGGTCATATTCCAAACATATACCTGCTTTGGATGTTACCCATGGGAACAGTAGGACCTTAAAATACTAGTGGTCTGATTACTTAGCACTACAACACAACCCTCTGAATCCTCTTGTTTTGAATTAAAACGAATGATTTAATAGCTGGAGAAATGAACCAATGACTAATTTCTTTACACCAGATGTGAAGGAGGTGTTCTGCATGGTGAAAAAAAAAAAACTTACAACCGATTAAAAAAGAGAAAGCTGTTACTGGACGGGACAGCGATGACGACAAAATAATTTCCAGTTATTCGTCCCTGAAGATGGCCATTTGTCTTGTGCCTATTATCAGCAGATGAGGAGCATGCATGTGGTGTCTGGGATGCTCTCCCACTTCCATCCTCCTGCCATGGCAAAGTGGGCAGGCAAACCCAGGAATTCTCGGAAGAACGTCGGGCTGCTAGATCTCGCACATGGGTGAAGATACTGGAAACTTGCACCAAGATACTGGAAACTTGCACCAATCTTTCATTGGACTGGGTGTGTTCAACTGGCTAGCAGTTGCTAGGGGAAATGAGTATGGTATACACTCCAAAGACAGACAAGGCTTCTGCGCTCTCAAGATCTGTTTTCCACACTTTTCTAACACTTTTTTGATTACTGCTTTGCTTGACGGAAAATGGGTTATAAAATAAGCTACCTCATCTCCAAATGGTGACAACTGAAAGAGATCAAAAATAATTTTAACACAAAGCATCGAAGAGACCGACTGCACACAGGGCGTAAACCAGTACTCAAGATTTAACTGTCACACGAGACTATTTATCTTGTAACACTGACCATAGTAAAACGCCTTCACCTAATGCCTTTGCACCATTGTCCAAATGCATCCTCACTGCTGTTTCAGCATTCAAAGAAGCAATATATATACAGCATAAATACCAGTTCTGTGTGGAAGCAACTGGCAACCACATCTTCTCATAAATAATGCAGTCAGTTCACTAATATCTGGCAACCAGAATTCTTTGATTATTAGCATATGAACAGTCCACAGAAAGCCTTCTACATCTCAGTACCTTTCATGCTTGAAACTTGTCTTCTTCTTCATAGATTATAGCTGTATGAAATAACATATATATATATATATATATATATATATATATATATATACACAAACACACACACACACATACACACACACACACCCATAAATAATGATGAAACAAGTGTCTGGAATATATTGGATACAATGGAAGATAGAAAATACATAGTGGTAGTCATAACATTCAACTAGAAAAAAGCTAAGATAGCTTGCCACTGTCAGAACTCAGTACTCATCATTATCGTTTGTTAACGATTAAAAATACTAAATTGCAAGTATAAAAAGTTGAAAGGCTGTTAAATCGCTGCTTTGAATCCAAGTTATATCGAATGTTTGTAATTTTCAGCAATGTTTTGACTCAGCTGCAGAATAGCTGTCATCCAAGTCTAATTACTAATATTTTTTCTCCTAATATTTTTTCTCCTTTTTCGTTCAGAGAATTAAAAATTTAAAAATCATATCAAATCCTTGATGATGGAAAATTACTGAATCATTTGTTTCTTGCTTGCATTGACTGTTGTCCTAGGTGTCTTGAAATGAAAACATCCCATGACACTCATTGTTTGGAAGGAACCGCCAGTCTATTTCACCATCTGAGGGGGCATTATTGCGATCTTGGGATGGATCTTAGTTTCTGAATCCAAAGTTCCTTCCTTGCCTTTCTTTCTGGGGGGCTTTTTGATAGGCGTCTTCTTTGGTGTGGACTCTCCCCCATCACCTGCCCCCAAGCTGTTTGAGTCCAGTTTCTCGGGGCTTTTGGGCTCATGTGAGAGCGTTTCTGAGATTGGGGCCACCATCTTCTGCAGGTTGCTTGAAGTAGGTAGCAGTGGTTTGCTAGGATTCTGGCTCATGCCCGCTGAAGAGCGTTTTGCCTTTTGAGGTGGGGTGGGCTTCTCACGCTGGGCCTGGGGTGTGGAGAAACCATTGGGCTTGAGAGTGCCCTCATTCCTGTTGATGCTCTGCGTCTTCTCCTTCAGCTGGGCTGCCAGCAAGGTGGCCGCCTCTGAGTTCACGTTGGGAGGAATGACCTCGGAGCGTACCTTGCTTGGGCTCTTGGGAGGTTGGGAGTCTCCCCCCTTCCTGTCCAGATGAAAGTTTCCAATCTTCTTCAGGGCATTCTGCACCGCTCCATTGATGTGCTCTATCTGCTCCTGGCCTGGCCTGCTCTTGTGAGTTTTCTGTTTGCTGAGAGATTGGCTCCCCTCGTTATCCTTGGCCTCTGCATGCCTTTGCTCCCGGTGCTTGCTGCTCTTCTCCTTCATCCTATGCTTTTCCTCACTCTTCACAGAGACATCACTTGTGCTCCTCTTTTTCTCCTTTGCTGTCACCTGGCCCTTCTCAGCCTGGTTGGCCCCAACTGTGCCATGTATCCAGGAGACCTTGGGCTTGGTGGAAGGATCTGGTGGCCTTGGCTTTGCTCTCTCTGGGGAAGGAGGCTTGCCATTGCCCTTGATATCCCCGCCCTGGCCATCATCCTCGTCTTTAGACTGTTTGGACACCTGAGCATACACTGCACCGGCAGCGGACTCAGAGCCGCTCATCGAGCCATCGCTGTCGGCTGACTTCAGCAGCGGTGTCTCGACGTTGTCTGCCGTGGACTGTTTGTTGGAACCCGTGTCTTTCAGTGATGTGTACTCCCCTGCATCTTCATCATTTGGACCATTTTTTTCTACGCTTCCATTGGTGTAACCCTTATCTTTGTTCTCTGCAACAGAGTCTAAAGAACAACAATCTGTTTTTAGACCGACAAAGTTGCTTTGTAACAAAAATGCATTTCTCTTTAATGTGAAGGCCAACACATGTGTTGGCCTTCCTCGAGGAAGGTGTGGGTATCTGATTCCATGGATCGGTTCACTAGGGGGACACTAAGAGACATCCTGCCCTTGGCTGACCTGCAAGTTTGTCTTCTATTAGATTGCTGACTGAATCAGAATACTGCTGTGGATTCGAGGTCCCTTACCTTCATGGGGAATGCAGTAAACAGGGCCATCATCACTGTTTTCAAAGGAGGAGAAGGATTCTTGGGAGGACCAGGATGGAGAATGTTGCTCTGCTGCTGAAGGAGGCTCAATGAAACGGCAGTTGAAGGCGTTCTCTGGGTCATGGTGGGCCACTGAGCAGTCAAAAAAGAGAAAAGCACAATACCTCAGCTACTCATCCTCACTGGAAGAAACTGTTCATGTCAGCTAGGGGTGCAACCAGGGGCATTGCTAGAGATTTTGGGCCCCATGAAAGCATATCATATTAGGCCCCCCAGACCAAACCAATCGTCCTAGCTTTCCTCCCCCTTACGGCGCCCCTGGGTGTAACGATTCTTCAAATCCACGATTCGGTTCAGACCTCGAATTTTGAACCATGATTCAGTCCATTCCTCATTTTTTTTGGAGGGAGGGACGAGGGGTGAATAACAAAAAATGGTCACCAACTAGCAGAATAACACTTAAGATCATGTTAATTACCCTGACTTCACATAAAATAACCATGTAAACAAAAATTAATAAAAAATTAAAATAAAAAATCAAATAGTATACTCTACTGGATAACCAAAATGTTCCCACACCTGAATGTGCCTGGGGCAGGGGGGGGGGGGTCTGAAATCTCTGGGTTATTATCTATTTTGAGCTAATGAAACTAGCTAGCTTTTACCGCAGCCGCAGACCATGATTGGACCAAAATAGTCATGTGACACAGCTTGCCCTAACTTTAAATAGGATAATAATTTCATGATTTACATGTGTTTAAGTGTTAATTGTGAAAAGAAAAATATGTTTCGTAATACTGGTAATGTAATGAAAGCCCAACTGGCTGAATATGCGGGTTGGATTTGGGGGTGCGGGTGAACATTTGTATCATGGTTTCGGCCTTGATTTCAGGACTGTTACACCACTAATATCAACAGATTCCAAGGAGAAAGAGCTTTTGAGTACAAACTCAAAATGAGGTCATGTGGACTAAAAAAGTTCTGTCATAGAGTGACAAGAACAGTGACCCCATCAGCAGATTACTTAGGCAGAGCTTGCTTCGGCACCATAACAGCTGAGCCTGGTATGTCATGGCGGTACTTTGTTATGACTGCTTGTTCTCCTCTCCCCCTTTGATGTAACCCTTTTCTGCTGACCCAGAGGGACAGCTGGGGGACGGCTGTGGTCTTTTTCACATCCACTCGCAGACTGGAAGGCAACTGGCTGCTGACCGCATGAGGCGATGATACTCGATGGCATCTATTTGTTCTTGATAAATAAAAAAAAATCCCAGTGAACTCCCAGAAAATTTCAAGCATGTCTTGACACTCTTCCAAGTCTTCCAAGAAAATATCGGAGGGAATTTCTTTACGCCTGGATGGAAATATACACTCTGACTTCTTGGTACATTTTTTAAATGTCAGTTAAAATAATCTCTGGCCTAGACCCAGGAGTGTTCATGCAAACTATGAGATCCTGATTCACGTCACATATGAGATCCTGATCTTACATTGTTCAGATTTTTAATGGTTGACATGATGCTGCCTGACAGTTGCTTTTGGGGCTTCATCTACTGCTGAAGACCAAGGACTGTAACTCCTGTGAGGAAATACCATTAAAGCACAATTATACCTGGAAGCCATGGTACCCTCACCGAACCTCCACAGATGTAGCAGAAACTCTCCATGCAAGTACCTGTGAGAATCTTACTTCCCACCTCTCCCATTTCCCATGATGCAGCGAGGACTCCCTAATTTCGGTCAAACCTGAGCCCTTCAAAGTCCTTTTCACTGGCATTTGAGGCCGAGTTGTGACCTTTCAGTGGGAAACAATAACGTGAAGTTCTGACGGGGAATGGGCAGCTCAGGTTGGGTTTAACAGAGAATGGGCCCCACTGAGGCAGACCCTAGAAGGAGCTTTTGGACTAAATCCGGGCCCCTGATGAGCTCCAGCTGCAGAGACACTCACAGTTGTTTGATGCCTGAGTTTGACGCAGCAGGTGTCCCAGATCTGCAGCACTTTTCTGAAAGGATTGCACCAATAGGTGGGGGTGGGAGGGGGAACTTATGTAAGGCCGAACTGTAGGTGACATAGACTGCCCCCTTAGAGGGGTGGCAGTCAACAAAGTGTCCTTCAGGTGTCACAAGTGGGCTGTATTTTGCAGGGGTACCTCCTTCTGGGCTATACCCCCTCCGTCCCCCTAAAGTCTCCCTGACCTCCCAACCCCCCATCTCCAACATCTGTTGCCAGAGACCCTGCCGCAGATAAATCACAGGTCTGACACAGGCCCGGATAAATCTGGCCACTTCCCGTTGGAGGCTCAGAGGAGCCCCCCCCCCCCGGTGGTATGCACAGGACTCCAGAGCCCATTTGAGGGTAAGGTTTCAAACGGCAGACAGATCTCGCTCCGCCAGCCGGGCAACGAGGAGAACAGAGCCGGGGAGGGACAGGGAGAAAGAAAAGCTCCAGACTGTGAGGAAGAGGCCGTTCCTCTTTCCCAAATCTTGTATTTTAATTTTTATATACAACCGAGTCGTTTTCAGCTCACTTCCCCAACAATCTACTTCTTACTTCAGGTCTAGCCTCGCTCGCGATGCCTGGGGAACTCTCTTCGCATTCCCACTCTGTATGATTCTCACACAAGCACAACTGTAGCCCAGAGTTTACATTACCAGAATGAAAGGTTTGTTTGTTCGAGAGTCAGCCCAGCTGTCTCACTTTAAAAAAAAAAAAGAATGCCTTTTTACTGCCATCTTGTGTGATGGACGATTTTTTTCCCTTCATTTTTCGAAGATCTTCTAAAAAGTTTAAAAGTTCCATGTAGGGTTAAAAGAAAATTTTCGTCGCTTGCTATGCCAAACAATGTTGTTTTTGTGCCGCCCGCCTAAGCGTGATAGAGGGACAACCACTTGCATGTATCTTCCGTCAAGCATGCTGCGAGGCACATGCCTTACGACTGTGAAGTCAAAAGGAGGTCAAAGCCCTTTAACTGCCCCCAAACCAACAGCCAAGATCGAACGACTACAGAAATATCAACAGTCATTTGTTTGTGTAGGATGCTGGCTCTCATCTCCTAGCTGTCTTAGTGACATCATTATTTTGATGCCAAGTCAGAGATTAATGTTTAAGGCATAATCAAATATTATTTAAAACATACTCTGAAACTGGGAGAAATGTCACTTCTGAGAGCTCGTTTCCAGGTTTGGTGTCGAGATTTTCGCAATTTATTCAGCAAGGCAGCCCGTCCATGATTTTTACAGGTGGTCAGGGTAGTTAGGAGTTATGAGGACGACATTTTTAAAATACAGAGATTCCCAACAGTACAGCTGACCTGCTTCTTCTGGTCCAGCTGCCTGAATGTTTTCCTGACGCCAGCCTGGGTTCTTGGGGTCTGTCGGAGCCACAAAACCACGCCGGTGTTGGGAAAGGAACCTGCTCGTTGATTGCCCTGGCACTTCCGATTCTTTTATAACTAAGCGCTCCCCTAAAAAACACTTTTTTCAGGAAGAGGGAAAGGGTAAAGAAAGAAAGCGCGCCTGTTTTGGGTTGTAATAATATGAACACATGGCACTTGCGTCCGCCAAGAACAACAGAGCTTGGGACCAGAACATTCCATTCAAATGAAATTGCAGACCCTTCGGGGAGTCACCGCAGACGACCGAGGGCTATTTACAGTGTGAGAGCAGACCAAGGGGACCGGGCATCGCGAAGTCCAGGCTGGCCTTGGGGGCTGAGTCTCACTACACGGCGTGACCCATTTTTATGCCTCGCTCAAGCTGTGGTAAAAGCGTGACACGGCATACTCGCTACACTCTGCCTCAACGCGCCACACAGAGTTGGCACGGCGAGGGCGCGTTGAGCGATAAGACAATATGGCTTCCAGAAAGAACAATCCGCACAATATATGTGATTGCATATTTCCAGGAGATGGGGCCCTGTGGAAGCAAGGGGGCCTATCACCAGACGGAAGGTTGATGTAACGGCCAGGGGGGATGGGTGTTGGTTACGGGGTGGGGGGGGGTCATACCAACAACTTTGGGCAACTTCTGTCGTCTCAGCGGAATCCGGGGCAGCTTGGTGCTGATTCGGCTGAACCTTCCACAGAGGAGCCGTTTGGCTTTTTGTCTGCTGGTGGAGCTTTCTGGGCTGGTGGTGTTGGGGGGGGGGGGGGGGGGGGGGGGGGGGGGGGGGAGGGGACAAAAAAGCCACAGATTTACAGCGCAGCCCAAAGCCAAGCACCGTGCAGGAACATCGCAGGCTGTGCACATGCACACAGGCCAAATGCAACAATACAAACTGAAGAACACATCTGGATGGGCCACCAGCCTCAACTGATGCAGCCGGACAAAATCACAATGAGGGATGGTACATTTTGGTACATCTTCTCATCATACAAGCCATGTGTTCCACAATGTGAAATTAGCATGCTTCTGTCTTTACACAATGTGAATGAATTTAAAAAACAATGTATCGCAAAAAAATGTTTGCACAAGTTATGAGGTGCAGTGTGTCTGGTAAGAGGTTAACATCCCCATCCCTCAGAATCCCCCGCACCACCCCCACCCCCAGGATATATTTCAGCCACTTACTTGTTTTCGTCTCTCTTTTTGCAGAGGAAGCAGCAGCACAGGAGAGAGAGGAGGACGAGGAGGAGGAAGGTGACTAGAGATCCAGCTGCGATCACGCCCATCCTCTGGTTAGGCACTGAAAGGGCAGAGGAGCGAGTTGGCCACTGTGTCAGGTGGTCAGCCCAGAGCCCCACCTGACCACGACCCTCCTTGGGGTGTCATGATGCTGGCTTGGATGGACATGTGACCCTCACCGAGAACATGGCTAGATGACTGCCTCTCAAGCATTTATCCAAAGCAACTACGTATTTACACATAGAGTAGGTTAAGCAATTTCACTGAGTTCTGTTGCAGCAAAGCTCACCTTGAAGGTGAACCAACAACTAGCAGATTACTAGGCCGCATCATCTGCTGGCCTACAAGGAGACCCCAACCGTAGGGGGTTTAAACAAACCACAACCAGAGGGACCCACTCTGAACCTTCAGGTGTCCTTATAGTACTCCGAAGCCTGTTTGTAGTTACTAGGCTAAATGGACCTTTATGCCAATTTTTTTCCACTTCAATTTCCTCTGCAGCCTTCCTAAAGAAAGGTGCAAACTGTAAGTATGTAATGCGTGTCTCTACAATAAGGAACTGTGAAACCAACACTGATAAGAATTAGCCTGGTAATCAGAGCTAAATTCTACATTCAGAGGCAATTTGCTGCAACACTTTCCATAGCACTCAAACATTGCACAAGAAACTTGGCGAAACACAGTAGTACTTAAGCATTATCTCACAAGAGTAAATTATACACCCGAGTCTTAGGTTTCTGCTAACTAGTGATCACTGCTATTACCAGCACCAAGAACTCCATGGCCTGTTGTACACAGTGTTGGTGGGGTTTGGGGGTGAGTGCAAAGCCCCCCATCCCGTCATGTGCCAGCAGAGCTAGCATTAACACCTTCTCTAACCAGGGAGCATCTTTGCTGCGTAACCGGTCTGCATAGCATAGCACTCTACTTCTGCCTTGGGTGACAAAACCGACACTGCTGCCTGATTATTTCCATATTTTATCGTTTTTTTTTCCTTATCTAAAATACCCACAAGTTTCTTAATGACATTTCTCTCCAAATCAATGTATTTTTTATAACTGATTCAGTTTATTTTACTACAGTTGCAGAGTAACAGAAATTCCAGACAGACACTTTTTTTCATTTGTTTTGACTAGTATGTACTGATCAATGTCTGTCACCAGTAAGTCAGCAGTGAGTTTACTGGTACAACTTGTGGTAGGCATCTGTAACCCAAACCAACAGACCCAAACCAACTGTCCAAAAATCTATTTGAAATCAGTTGAAAATTATACTGGAAATTTCTACAGAAGTTTCCATTGGGGTAATTCCAAGGGTTGAGAACATATTTTTGTTTTGAACGTGGATACATCCTTTTTCGCTTGAAGGGCGGTTTACTTTAGCTTGTGGTTTGGTGATTGGGTAGTTCCTTAAACCCCATTCCCTGAACAAAGAAAGGCCCCTATGTTTAGCGTATTAGTAAAACATTAGTAGACACTAGTGGAGTTATAACTAGGTTTCAGGCAAGAAGTAGATACCTTGCCTCAGAAAATCAAACAACACAAAACATACCGACACAAAATATAGTAATCTCATCTCTTCGCTCCTCTTCCTCCTCCACAATGGACAGTTGGTAACCTCACTCTCTTATTTAGGTTTTAATCTCTTTATAAAAGTGCTTTGTTTGTATGTCTCATACCGTTGTTCCATTATGAGCACACACTGCCTTAACAATTTTCTTTCATCCAATCCGCACGGTGATATAAGACACTACTTTTGAAGACCATAGCCATATATCCTATCATATATCAACATATCCTAGTTTATCTTAACCCTTTACTTTGAAATGTCTAGACAAGCAATCATCTCCCGTATTCATCTTGGTGCAAAGAGAGATAAGACACTATCACATCATCACAGCTTCCCAACAATGTCCACTGGGAATTAATCTTGTAACCCCATGGATCCTGCCCTTCCGGTACCATGTAGGTCAACCCACTGCCATACAGCCCCCAGTCTCACACAATTTCACCATGGCAACCTGAGTGGATCTGCAAGTTTCTGAACACTGTTACATGTCATATTAGCTGCTATTATCAGTCAACTGCAGAGTTTGATCCACAGAATTATGTATACTCAGTATTTTTCGGCTTTTCTTAGAATATACTCTCTGATATTGAAACAGCTAAAATATAATTATATACAATTATCACACTCCCACAGCCCTGTGTTGGATAAGTAGTCTGGATATACAGTATTGATGTGATTGCCTTCAGTAATGCAACAACAAAGTTCAAATAATAATTTTTTAAATCAAAAGTAAATAGAATTCTGCATTGTTTTATTAAAGGTCTTAAAGGCCCAAATAAAGCATCCAGTTGTATTTTACCGGCAGAGTTATTTAAATACGCCCATGAGTACAACACCTGAGCTCGGAATGAGCCGCCCCACTGATGTGTCTCTGTCATGCGAATTAGCAGCTAGCAGGTAACCCAAACCAACAGAGCAGTGCGACTGTCCAAAAATCTATTTGAAACCAGTTGAAAATTATACTGGGAATTTCTACAGAAGTTTCCATTGGGGTAATGCCAAGGGTTGAGAACATATTTTTGTTTTGAACGTGGATACATCCTTTTTCGCTTGAAGGGCGGTTTACTTCAGCTTGTGGTTTATTGATTGGGTAGTTCCTCAAACCCCATTCCCTGAACAAAGAAAGGCCCCTATGTTTAGCGTATTAGTAAAACATTAGTAGACAGTAGTGGAGTTATACCTAAGTTTCAGGCAAGAAGCAGATACCTAGCCTCCGCCTTCCAGATGCCATAACACAGATGTCTCTGTCATGTGAATTTGTCAGCTAGCAGGTTCGTGTACGTAAACCTGTACGTAAATGTGTCAGACAGCAAATATACAGTAAATTAGTTTACATCCAGGACTAGAAGACAAACTACTTATATCACCCTAATGTTCGAATACTTCCATAAAAATACATCTACCATCCAATCAGTTTCTAGCAAACACGGGGCACGGGGGGGACACACACACACACCCTGAATTATAAGCCAAAGAGACTGCTTTGCCTTATCAGTGTCTGTATCACTGAACAACAAAACAAACCATGTAGTCTTTCCACCCAGATATTAGTCAGAGTGCTAGGAGACCCATTCAACAGCACTCTCTCCCCAGACCTCGTAAACGCCTGATTTTACTTGCCAGCTAATTACGAAGCTTCTGACTTCTTGGCCCTGCGGTTGTTTCTGGGGGGGGGGGGGGATGCGGGCTGAGAAGTTCAGATTCAGATCTGCTGAATGAGCTGAAGTTTTTGGGAAGATGAAGTAACTGAAGGGTCTTACACAAGTTGCAGGCCCCGGAGATGGGATTGCACCTCCGGTCATGGCAGGGGCACGTTTGGGCGCAGTTCACTCCATACTGGCCAGACTCGCAGGTCAGATTGCAGCTGTGAGAGGGAGACAGCATGCAGTATTATCTATTAGTACTATTATTATTACCGCACATGCAGTAGTAGGAGCATCAGCAGCAGCAATGATAATTCCAGCATTTGTCAGTTTTTACAAAATTATGTAATGAAAATTCAACAAATTAAAACATCAGAAGCACAGAGCAAATTGGCAAAAACAAATAATTACGGACAGATAGAAAACCTTGGATCATATGCAAAAACATAAAGGTAAGAAATCAATGGATATCATGTTCCTCAGCTGTGAATACTGAGGTTTATTACTAAAACCTTGTCTTATACTCTCTGTCATAAACACATGAACAACAAAATACGATATTTAAAATACAGTAAATGGGTTTTCTATTATGCAAAGACATAATACAAAAATCATTTCATCGCCAAATATTTTTATGGGAGATAATGGTTAATTCATAACTCATACTGCCTGACTTACTATTTAACTACTTAGTTACACTAGATCAGTAATAAGTCTTTGGATGTTTCATCATATATTAACACATACATGGCACAATGTCATGGACCTGGGTTACACTGGCCAGTTTGGATTGCATGGTGACCGATCATCAGACTCAGGCCAATAAGCTCCTCAGATAAGGAAATCCAGCTGATCCTGTTCAGAGTGCTAGGCTGGGTAGGAGTAGACTGGGGATGTGCGGTATGAACGCAGTGCTTTGGGCTTGCTGTGGCCCTCCGAGTTTTATGGTTTAAGTGATCTTTCGTTTTGTAGGGGGACTCATTCCCCATTTTGATTTTGTTTCGTATCATAAAACGGAACCTTGTTTATTCTTGGATAAAGAGGGTAACTAAGCCATTTATCTACCACGCCACTTTACGTCACCGCAGATGTGGCTGACGGATAATGGTCGTCTCTCTTCTATCCATCCCTTTGACGTTCTGGCTAGACTCGATCTGGGTGTTCCTTTATGGGACCCCCCCCCCCTCCCGGCACCATGGGTGTGTAAAACCGCGGTGGAAGGGAACGGGACCGCGAGCATATTCCACCTGGGAGGAGCGAGTGAGAGGCGACGGGAGAGAGAGCGCAGCGGCGCGTAGTGGAAACCGCATCAAAGGCGGGCGACGTGGAAGCAGAGTCGGGTCAGCAGAATCATGACCGTGCGACTGTAGCCCCCATTACTGCCTGGGTTTATTTTTGTTTTTCCCATGATGGGGTAAAAAACCGACGGATTCAGCACCGGGGGTCTGTAGGGGGTACAAACAAACAAGCACTGTGAGTCATGAAGACACCACTGCTCCCTGCCTGCCTCCATCGGAAGTACTGTGCCCCCCCCCCTCGAGGGCTATTCTCTCGGGCCCGGTGTGCTTCTGTCAGCTTGTTTCAACATATCTGTGTCCATTAGGCCCCTGTGACAGGGACACCGGGAGCTTGGGGACAGGCTACGTCTGGCAAATCGCTCTGACTCATCACTGTGCAAACAGCATAGCCGCCCTGCAGATGCTATCCGGCCTCGGATAACTGTGTGAGAAACCGCCCAAAAAGCCAGGCGGGGGGGTGGGGGGCTCTTAGCAACAAGACGCTAAATGTAAACAGATGTCCACTGCGATGTCAGCTATGTAACCCTGATGGGAAAGAGGAATCTTTGTCATGCGGGTCTTTCTACACGTACTGATCAGTTTAATCCAATTTCTGTCCTCCATCTTTTTGCTATAAGTATTCAATTTAAACAGTGGCTTCTTCTAAATAACTACGTTCCCCAAGTACCTCTTTAATTCACCCACATTGGTACATAAAATTTAATTAAAATGGCAAATACTCATTTCAAATTAATTTCAACAAATCAAATTGTAAATAGCCCCAATGATGGTACATTAAAGTTTATTAATCATGGTCAAGGGATCAGAACGTAAGAGAGGAAAAGTCCTAATGCCACACTAACCTTAGCTGCAGTGTTAAAGTGAGCCTATGTATCCCAGCCTTGATATATTAAAGCATGACTCTTAAAAGTGGGCAGGGGGAGGGGGGATCCTACACAAAAGGACAGAGGTGTGCTTGTAGAAGCATCTGCTGAACGAGCCAGCATAGACGTAGATCCCAACGTTGAGATTTTCATGCTGGTCTTTCTGAGAGGCCTACTGCCAAAAGAGTCAGGCCAGCATGATGCAACGTGGTGGCAAGTGAGGCCTAAATGTGCAATCGGAGCAGAGGGGAGGGCCTGGGGGCCGGAGGCTTCCACTCACAAGGTGCCGTGAAAGCCGGGGTCACACAGGCACTCCCCCGTTTCGAAGTGGCAGTCCCCGTTGAAGCAGTGGCTACAGTTGTTATCGCAGTTCTCGCCATACGTCCCGTTGGGACACCTGGTCTCACACCTGCAGAATGAAACAGAGGAAGAACGGTTTGCCATGTGCCCTTCCAGAGCCCTCTAGAATCACGGAGGAGCCTAAAGGCATTCCAAATGAGCATTTCCGGCTCGCCGAACCTCAAATGCTCAATGAGATGAAAGAATGAATGTAAACAACAAGGGAGCTTAGGAGCGAGGCTTGCTGGGAATCCCACAGGAGAACACGGTCATATGATCGGCTGTCACGGTCATGTGACTGGCTGTCACGGTCATGTGATCGGCTGTCACGGTCATGTGATCGGCTGTCACGTACCGATCCCCGGTCCAGCCGGGGTTACAGTGGGAGCATTTGCCATCGAAGCGGCTACAGAAGTGCCCGTCCTTGCATGGCGGGCAGACATCTTTGCAGTTCTCCCCGAAGAATCCCGGCGCGCACATCTGGTCGCACTTGGTGCCGTTCCAGCCTTGCTCGCATGTCACGCAGCGGCCCTCCGTCACCTTGCACGGCTGCTGGCCCTTGCAGTGGCCACATCTGGGGGGATGAAGGCAGCAGGAAGATCGTGTGGGAATGGGGAGTGAGAACTGGAATTATGGCAACTGAATGAGAAGGAAGAACTGGGCACCAGAAGAATCCTTCCCAAAAATACCAATTTATGTCTAAAGGTACATCCTGGTCAAGTGTCTTAGTCATGATCAGAGTAAGGTTGGGGTGCAACTTTGATGGGATGTCAGTCCATCGCAGGGCACATGCAATCATACATGATAGACAGCTTAGGGACACCTAAACACCTGTCTTTGGGCTGCGGGAGGGAACCTGCATGAGTAGGAGCTCCATACCCACACAGCCACCTCTAGATTTCCACCTCCAACCCAGGAGGTGAAGAGACAGCAATGCTATGGACTGAGGCTCTGAGGTGCTCCGGTGGTGAGGTAATATCTAATAGAAACAGCTTAATTTGATTTACTATCAAATTACCATCCATCCATCCATTTTACACAAGTACTTATTCAGTTCAGGACTGTCGTGAGCCTGTCCCAGGTGGGGGGGGGGGTGCCAGTTTGTAACAGGACACCATATATATTATGTTATATCATAACATTTTCATCTCAATTGATGACGCACCCATCTGTACCGATGTGTCAGTGTAACGGGTTTATGAGGAAATCAGCGGGACCCGCGGACGGCGTCTCCGGAAGCTGCCGCCCCTCCGCACTGACCTGTGCCTGCAGTTCTGGCCGTAGAACCCGGCGGGGCACGGCTCCCTGCAGAACTTGCCGCGGTAGCCTGGGGAGCAGGTGCACGAGCCGTCGGTGGGGTTGCACCTGCCGTGCACACACTGGCAGTAACGCTCACAGCGCGGCCCCCAGAGGCGCTCACGGCACTGGCAGCGGCCAGTGAACTGCTCGCACGGTGAGCCGTTGCAGACGCACTGCGCCCCGCAGTTGCGCCCGTAGTAGCCTGGGTTGCAGATGCAGCGGCCGGTCGTCTGCTCGCACACGGAGTTGACGCTGCAGTAGCAGACCTGCGAGCACTGCGGCCCCCAGACGCCTGGATTGCAGCTGCACTTGCCCGTGGCCTGGTCGCATTTGCCCTTCTGGCAGGAGCAGGCGTTCTCGCAGTTGGGTCCCCAGCGGTTGGGGTTGCATGTGCACTCGCCCGTCACATCGTCGCATTGCCCGTTGGGGTGGCACATGCACTTCCCCTTGCAGTCTGGCCCCCAGAACTGATTGGGGCACTCTGTGGGTGGGGGGGGGTAGAAAACACAGACGTGACATAAACTCTACTGGGGTGTATATCTTCAGCTTTCATTTGTGACAAGAAGTCCAACACTACAAACAAAGTAAGTTTTCAAGTTTTTTGTTGTTTTAACCACACAATCCAGGACCCACTGAAAATCACAACCAACCAAGTGAGAAACAGTGCTCTGTATAACTGGAGTATTACTGTAGTTTAGAGTAATGTAAGTCTTTGAAGTGTAGATGAAATGTACTGCTGCTGAAAATGATTACCTGTAGATGACCCAAGAAGTGTACTTTGAACTACACAAAGAATATACTGCGTGTTATAAGAAATATACTGTTATTGATTTCCCCTTGAATAGGACAACGAAGATTCTGAATAAAATGATGGACTTTTTTGAATTACACTTTAGATTATATAATGAAATAACAGACAGTAATGTGTGTTATTCTGTTCAAACTGAATGTACTGGTTTCATTTTATTCTGCAGTTCCAGTTCATCTGTATAAATCTTCGATTTTAAGCATGTTTTAAATTAAAGACATTTTTCAGCTCTGAATCGAGTCCAGCTCTCGCGTTCCTTGGAATTCCCGGAATGGCGCTGCTTCAAACCCAACCCGGGTCGTGCTTTCAGATCTCACACTCGAACCTCGCCAGCAATTCACATGCACCCTGTGCTACGCCCTCCTCCTGCTTCAGACGGGGGGGAGCACTTACTCGTATCGCAGCTGGCTCCAAAGTATCCATGACGACAGCGGCACTCATTGGGCCTGACACACACCTCGTTCTCCTTACAGGTGAAGTTGCCTTCGCAGAGTGCTGTGGAGGGGGACAGTGTATCACACGTGTCACACGACATAGATCTTGCAGCACGCCTAGAGGAGCGCGGCAGACGGTACGTACGTGTCAAGCATTCGTCTCCCAGTTGGCTCCACCCAGGACAGCACTGGAATCCTGGAGACCTGGAGAGCAGGGAGGTCGGGAGCGTGAGCTTTGGTAGCGGCTTAGTAGACGAGGGAGATGGTGAGATCCTCCTGTGAGATCTCCATGTAGCCCCAAAAGACACGTTCCTCAGCAGATACATAGAGGGAGTGTAACCTGCAGTATGCACCCTAACCCACACTTCCATACTTCATTCTGGCTATTGCAATGTCAGCCGGCGCAGACTAATGGCCAAAGTTAAGGCTGCTTTTCGTGAGAGTTTCACAGCTTCATCGCCTGTTTTCCAGCCCCTAACTCTTCGAAGTGGACAGATGGGCCGCCGCCTTCACCTCCCATCTGCGCGACCCCCGGAATGCCCCGGGCACGTTTTCATTTCCTGAGAGGTGTATGGGGCCACTTCCTGCATTCTGTCACAGAGGCTTTCTTTTTTCCCCCGCTACGGACGACCCCTGACCCTCCCTGACTCTCTCATCGCCCAGCAGAACTCCACTAACAATCTCTTGGAAAGAAAACAAAGCGTAACCGACTCATGGAAACTGCCCTGTGTGTTTCTTGCAAGATTTACAGCTACTGACTGCAAAGCCCTACAGGAGTTCTTTGTATATTAGTGCATCACATAGTTTGACAGCTTCCCAGGTCCGAAGAAACTGCCTGTACAGTATGAGGCCATCATAGAGCTACTCAAAACAGCCCTGCAGCTTAAAATCAGGAAGGTGTTAGCAATCAGCTCCTCAATAGATAAACACTTTAATATTAAAAGATTAGACACGGCTACATCAACTGGACGCTGCTAGGAGCCTCAGCATGGATGAGATGTTCATTTTATCAGCAGACGGCATTATTTCCACCACAGGGTGTCGTCTGTGTGTGTTTTTCTTTTTTTTTTTAACCTTGTCTGATGACTACAGACAACGAATCTCTGGCACTTCAGCACCCTGTCTGGTTTCTCCAGGAGTGATGAAGTTGCATCCTCTCACCTTTGAAGAATCTGTTTTTATGTTTTGTGATTTCCATCTTCACATATGGCCTGTTTTGTTCACCCCCTGCTTTACCGAGGACAATGACAGCTGCGATTGGGGTTTGAATAGAAAGCATTTTAATTTCACTTTTTCTATACATTCCAAATTATACACTCCAAAAATAGGCTGCAACTTTTTAAAGAACCTTTCTTGCCAAGCAAAAATGAATCAAACCCCCAAAAATCATTCATATTGACTGTTACACTTATCCTTAACAAAGCTGCGTCTTGACTTTTCCTGTCACAAGGAACAAAGCAATATATATGTCAGGTCCTTTAAGCAAGATGGAACTGATCTATAAATAAGACAGAACTCAGCTAACGTTGTTGTGAGTCATTTCCCCTAGAAAAAGACCACAAAAAGGATTTTACACTGCCTTTGCCAAAGTTTAAGTTGCGGTGCTTTCCCGTGACAAAAAAAAAATAACATCCCTGCTTGTCTTGCTCACTCGACACTCTTTGCTTTTTCTGAAAAAATATATTGTCTGAAACAATGATGATAATACAAAATGTCCAGATAACGAACTCAGCTGCCAGTCAGTGACAAAGCATGGAAGTGACAGAAGAAAACCTAAGAGCAAATGACACAGCACTAGCGTACTGCTATTTCAGTCACTTGTCTTCTGAAGGAACCCAACTGTGCATGAAATAAACTTGGACTACTTAGAGTTTTCAGTGATGAAAGTCAGTAAGTAAAGCTGTTTGCAGTTATGCTGAAGGTGTCACAGACACAAGGCAACCTGCTTGAGTCGTAAACGATTCATATGTCTGAAATAACAAAAGTGATTTGTTTCTCAGTTAGTTTTAGGGCTAAACAATATTGGCATAAAATTCCATTCATCCATTATTGTGGGGGCAGCAGTCTAAGCTGGGTTGCCTAGACCTCCCTCTCACCAGTCACCTCCTCCAGGGGATACCAAGGCGTTCCCTCGCCAGCCGAGAGATATAATCTCTCCAGCGTGTCCTGGGTCTGTCCTGGGGCCTCCTCTGGGTTGGACATGGCCGAAACACCTCCCCAGGGAGCCATTCAAGAGGTATCCTAGATAGATGCCTGAACCACCTCAACTGGCTCCTTTCGATGCGGAGAAGCTGAGGCTCTACTTTGAGCTCCCCCCGAATGTCCGAGCTCCTCACCCTATCTCTAAGGTCGAGCCTAGATGAAGGAAACTCATTTCTGTTGCTTGTATCCACAGTTTCATATTTTCAGTCGCTACCCAAAGCTTATGACCATAGGTAAGGATACGAAAATTCACATGGTAATATTTGAAATTTCTGTGATAAATATATTAATATAAATATAAAGCAAAAAAGGAGTTGAAAATTTACCCACAATAAGCTACAGCCTAACAGAACTTGTTATTATCTCCCGATAGACTCTGTCCAATAAGCTGGTGGTGATGTCATCAGTTGTGTCAATGCAAAGCAGCGCCAAAAATCACTTGCTCTTTCTCAGAATTATCTTGATGGTATCTGCAATACTTTCATACAGCTGACGATGAACATCCTTTGGTGACCAATTCTTGTTTGATCTTCATTTTTGATGCAATTCTCACAAAAGCATTGCACTGTCTATGAGTGAGTCCAACAGAAAGGATGAAATGATTATGGCTGGCTGTGAAAGCACATGCAGGGCACATGTGCTACCTAATCTTGAAAAGGAACAATAATAAAAATTGTTTGGTGTAACTTATTGAAGGTCTTAACCCAGCTGACCTGGTGATGTCACAATCGCACGTGTAACGTGATATCAGCATATTAACATGCTACTTCCTGTAGGCCCATTGGGCAGCCTGACACCCCCAGGGCTCAGCTGCTCAATTCCCACATTAGTGCTGTGTGTGTGGATCTCCTCAGGGTATTTTAGTTTCCTCCTGCAGTACAAAGACATACAATTAGCTTAATTTGTGTCTCTAAATGGCCTGTTGCATGCGAGAGTTTGAGGCCTCTGTTGGACTGGTGACCCATCCAGGCAGTATGACTGCCTTGTGCACTGTGGTGCCCGGGACAGGGTACAGGTTCAAGGGACGAGGCAAATGACAAGTAGGATTCGATGCCAGCCCATCACTGGGCACACATTCGCTCACAAACACAATGGGCAATTCACAGACGCCAGTTCATATGTGAGAGATATCACATCATAGCTGTCATAGCTAACCACATGTTTTAAAACTGCTGGAGGACACCGCTGTACCCAGGGAAAGCTGACCCAACACGTGGAGATCATGCAACCTCCACACATCCAGCTGGGGCCATGAATCAGGCCCCAAACCTGGCAGTATGAGCCTACGGGGCTCCCCACTGAGCCCCCGTGCTGCTGAAAAGGGCTACATCTACTTAAATAATGCCTTTTGGCCCTTTTGGGATGCTGTTCACAGAACACGAGCCTGGCTGAAATTTATGTAGCAAAACTTTCAGATTCTGAATTCTCCTGAAGCTTTTCTGTCTAGCTGATGGGTTTTTTATGGATTTTCAGCAGTGTTTGCTTCTACTGTATGTCTAGTGCTGCAGCACTGGAGCACATAAATCACACACACACACACACACACACACACACACACATGTAGGGTAAACATATCCTTATGGGGACCACTCATTCATTTCAATGGGAAAAATGCTAACGCTAACTATGACAGCCTTAACCCCTACCCTGCCCTAACCATAACCATAAGTAACCTAACAAAATACAGTACAAGAGTTTTTGCGTTTTTAGTTTTTTCATAGCAGTCACCAATATTTATAAAATAGCGTTTTCCCTTATGGGGACCAGGAAACCGGTCCCCATATGGAAAAAAAAAACTAATATTTATCACCTTATGGGGACATTGTGTCCCCATAAGGATAGGTAAACCCGCTCACACACACACACACGCACACACACTGGCATACCTATCTAAATAGGGACCTTCCATTCATTTCTATGGGAAAACCATAATCCCAGTCAGGACATCCTTAACCCCTACCCAGCCCTTACCTTAATCATAAGTAACTAAACAAAATACTTCAGGCATTTTTACTTATTTGATTGCAGTCACAGATTTTTATAAAACTGCATTTCCCCTTGTGGGAATGGATGAATGAATGAATGAAAGAATGAATCATCACAACATCAAAATAGCAGGTTTTTAACACATTGTGGGGACATTTGGTCCCCATAATGCAATGTATACCTGGACCACACACACACAAACACACACACACACACTTCATATTTTTGTGGGGAACATCCATTCATTTCGATGAGCAAAACCCTAATCCCAAATATGACAACCTTAACCCAGCCCAAACCTTAATTATAAGTAACTAAACAAAATACAAGTCTTTTGGCATTTTTAGTTATTTTGATTGCAGTCACAGATTTTTATAAAATTTTGTTTCCCCTTGTGGGGGGCTATAATATATACCCACACACACACACACACACACACACACACACACACACACACACAAAGCATGTGACTTAGAAGGTATGGCCACCACGGCAGCAGGCCCCTACGGCGGGAGTCTGTACAGAGGTAACTATAGTTCAAAGGGAAAGCACTCTTCATCAAGACCATATTTCAAATTGACTGAGGATATGTTGTGCACTTTAAACAAGACATTTACAGCACCAGTTATATCAATGGTTTCTTTGGCTGTTAATTCGATACGGAACGAAATTACAGTAATCATTTCTCAGGGCACAGAACTTCCATATTGATCCCAATATCATGGGAAAGAGAATGCCATACACAGCTTAAATTGTAAATTCACATGGTAATATTTCAAATTTCTGTGATAAATATATTGATATAAATATAAAGCAAAAAAAGAGTTGAAAATTTACCCACAATAAGCTGCAGCCTAACAGAACTTGTTATTATCTCCCGATAGACTCTGTCCAATAAGCTGGTGGTGATGTCATCAGTTGTGTCAATGCAAAGCATGTGCTACCTAATCTTGAAAAGGAACAATAATGAAAATTGTTTAGTGTAACTCATATGTGAAAATAGAAATCATAAAAGATAAAAACAGATGCTTCAAAGGTGAGAGGATGTAACTTCATCACTCCTGGCGAAACCAGACAGGACGCAGCTGCACGCAGTGCATATTCACGTATGAATTTTGATGTTTATGACGTGCTCTTGGGTACACTTATTTTCTTTTTTTTAACTTTATGAACATCTTAATTCATAAGTAACAGTCCATACTCTTAAAAGTTAGCGGTCAGTTTGAATCACCTGCAGGTTTCACCGCGATTCAGCTTCTGGCTGTCTGTCAGTCTCCATAGTCCCACCCTTCACCAGGACTATAAAATTAAGATATTTTTTTCCCACAAGCAACAGTGCTTTTAAAATACAATTAAACAGAACATAAACTGTCCGTGTTGGCTACAATTAATTTAAAAAGCCTCATTATACTACTAAATGGATTCACAACGTGATTTTTTTTTGTTTTTGTTGTCCTTTGGCCTATACACACAAACTGCAAAACCAACCATAACAATAAAATAAATGATGAATTACTTTCTAATTTACTATGTTTCATTGCTTGAAAATAATCAATAACCACGACCTAATGATAATTTCAAACAAAAAATGTACTTATTGCTTATAATTAACCGTGCATGTGTTCTTTTCAAGAAAAACAACAGCACTTTCAATCGAACCACGTAAAGTTTCTAGGTTGCTTGAAAATAGAAAAAAATCTGGAAGATCTGAACCAGACCATCCTACAACAGCTGTAAAAACCTAATGAATTTCCCAGATTTTTCATGTAGTCGTTTACTACTGAATTATACTTCAACGAAACATGCAGACTAGGTTAAGGGAACTAAATAAAGTATGTCGATGTATTTTAGCTACGAAATATCTTCTTTGGCAACCCACTTAAAAAGAGAGAAAGGGGGTATTTGGGTTTAACAGCGAAAATAAAGAGCTTACTGAAATGTACGCAACATAACCGATTTTTATCCCGTAGCCTATATAAAGAAGCTGAAAAGATGCGCCCCCTTGCGGAATTTCCGCGTACCTGTACATTCCAGTTGTGCACATCTGGAAGTCTGTAGTTTTGGAGTGCATCTGTGCATTTTAATTACATGCATACAGAAAAAGACTAAAAAAAAACCCACACGGAGTGATAGATTTGCTGTGCATTTCATTCAAACCCGGCAAATGAATTAATTTCGACGCGAAACGCCGTAACAGAGCAACCGAAGGTAGTAATTGCTTTACCAAAAGGCGCCGCGCTGAGGATCCTGCCAAAGCCTTCAGCTGGAGGCGTAGCCTTTTACAGTTTCCTAAACTTATGTTTGAAAATGCAATATTTTATTTTACACCGTTATTTTAACATTTTCTGCACATGCTATATTAAAAGCTCACTACAGTATATGAATAAATTCTTTGAACTGTTCTTGCGCGCCTGGATGTTGTCCTATAGGCGAGAATGACTTACCCCGGGATTTTGCACACATTCCTGCCTTTTGGGTTAAGTTCTTGCGTGAAGATCGGGCAGAAGGTCAAACAGAGCAGCACAGCAAATACAAAAGTGTTTTTCAACTCCATGTTACAAGAAGCAGCATCCTTCCAGGCGCTCCTTGTGTCGGGCATTCCTCCCCTTCAGAAGCGGAAAGTTTCTGCGGATCTTCCTCGCGCTCGCTTTGCGGCACTTCTTTTTCTCTCCCCCCAGGAGTCTATAGTGGGCATACATACGTCTGACGACTGCAAACTAGTTCACATATACTTTTATCCAGATGCGAAAGAGGCATAATCCAAATTCTGCATTAAAACAAGCCGATGCGACCCACGTCCACGTCCTTAAGCTCGATAAAGTACAGCAGCACCGATCCAGCTGAAGAAGGTGGGAAAAACAAAGTTACAAAACCCAAAGTTGTGCTGACAAGCTTCCTCTTCATGGGAACGACTTTTCTCCCACTTCACCGAAACAAAGGCATTTCGGCATGTGCTCTACACGTTTGCAAACCCGCTAAATAATTAAGAAAGTAGAGCATCGCTTTTCTCTTATTGTTTCGTCATTTTAACCAATAATAATCTACTACCCCTTTAATCCTGGGTAGTTAGCGGAGGTCACATAAGGCATCATGAAGTTGTGAAGCAGCACAAGTCCGTTTTTCTGGGCGGAAATGGAAGCTTAAGCGCAGATCTTGGCCGTAGGTCTCGTTTTTCCTCTCTCTATTTTCGCTTGCATTTGCAGGAGTGGCAGGAGGAAATTCCTGATTTCTTACCCTATATTTGGCACAGGGTAGAGGGAATTAAGGGACCAGTTTTCGTGAAAAAACCTATGCGCAACAGCCGACTTTTTTTTCCACCAAATAGAAATCGAAAAACGGACTGGGACAAAATGGGTGTGTCTGTAGCCGCAAGGGGACTGTCCCAAAGCGGGACGGGCCGCCACTGGCATACAGAGCATGCAGGCATTTTCAGGATTTTGTCCTACGGTAACACAAGCATCATTAATATTTAATAGTAGGTACCGTCAATCGACTCCTGGTGGCCACAGTAGCTACTCGTCCGGTCTTCAGTCTGGAGCTTCAAACTCAAAAATAGCATGTTTATCATTGGTCATTGATAATTGATTAGCGTGTTGTTGTTGTTATTATTATTATTATTATTATTATTATTATTATTCACAGTGTGATATGTGTATTATTGATTATGAATTAATTACTTAATTAATTTATAATATTGTTAATAATTCAACTAGCCCAAAATGGGTTCGAAATAGTTGAGTATGCATTATGCCGAACAAAATGCAAAGATTACTTAAGTAAGAAAGGGCTCCCCCCTCTGTTTCAAATGTAGATTTAACATTTGTAGTTGCATCACAGCGCAGTCTTTGATGTATATACTGTAAAGGAGACGCAGGGCGTGTTTTATATAACGGCTGCTAGTTAGCCTATAGTGCGCGAGTATTTTCTCTTTTGGTAAGACAACCGGAATAGTAATACAGCTTTGAATATTAATACAATGTTTACATACAGAATGCTGAGCCGACATGCCAGATAAAAAAGTGAGAATATAGCAGATAAGCGAGAATATATTTTTCATTTCTTACACGGATGCTAACGTGAATATTAATGTTAAAAACTTGAAATGCTGAGGTTTTTTTTACATTAAAATTATTCTGTAATGTATAGTGTAAAATAAATAACCTTGCAATTTACCAGCAAATACAATTTGAATATGGAATTACAGAATTTGATCCCATTGTACCATATATTATGTATAAGTAGCCTAACAAGTATCATTCTACATCATTTCAGATTTTCAGATCTTATGAAAACACACCATGCACAATTTAAAAAACAATTCCTTCTGTAATGTTGCCACACTGAACACCTTACTGTTGTGTCTTTATGACTTGATCGTGTGTTTTTGTGAATTTGCACCAATCAGTGCCTCAGAACCTCAACATATTTGTCTATGGACATTTCTGCTGGACAGATGTAGCCAAAGACTCTGTTGTTTTCCATTTGTGCCAGCAGGAGAACAGCTACATAGAAATGATTCCTTCTTTAGTTCCGTGAGACTCGCAAACACGGAGATAAACAGGTTGGGGTGAAGCTTGGGGTCGGCCATTTGCCAGGAGACCCTGGGGCAGCTTTGGAGGTTAAAGGCCTTGCTGTGCCATAATTACTTTAGTGACTTGTCAGACATGGGCACAGATAGCTAATGCACAGAATCACACTCCACTCCAGTTTAATCAGTAGCAGGGTGATACTGGGTATTACCTGAGTGGCTGCCACTAGTTCCTCCCACACTGTGTGGAAACCAGTGTCTTTTGGTAAAAACGTACTGCTCCTTATCAGTCCTTATCGGGCTTGGAGGGGAACTTAGGACTCAAAGTCTGGCCAGACGGAAACCTTCCAAGTGCAACTTCTGATGGAGCAGAGGAAGTTTGCTGAGGAAAGTGCTGCCCGAACGGACCTCATTAGCCAGAGCAGGTATACTGCTGCACCCACAAAAGGATTGTTTTCCGCCATACCTGGGACCTTAACTAGGCTAAGTTACTTTCAAACTCTTGATCAGTTACTCCTGTGGCTTCCTGCTTGGTGGGAATCAGACGGTGGCACATTAGATAAGATACGTTATGAATCGGAGTAGAAGTTCCTGATCTTGGATTTGAATCTGCTGTCCTCTTAACACATTTGGGCAGTAGGATAACAAAAAAAGCTTTGATTAGTGGTTTGTTATTAAATAGGTATAATGACTGGCTCTACCCAGGTCGTTACATCATGTGAATGCTCTTTGAAGAAAGCACATGCCCCTTATTTAATTACTTTATTAAGATACTGGGTTTTGTATTAATACTTTGAATTTACAGTATCAAGCAATTCCTCTTTTTTCCATGCCAGGGCAAAATGATAATGCATTGTTGTTGCTTAACACCCAGATTTTGAGCTCTGTAATATGAGACATTTTGCTGTGGAGGTAACGTCACGTGTGCTGATTGGAGCGTGTGTCTCTCTGTGAGTGTAACACAGGGCAGAGTGACATTGGATAGCCCGGGATTTTCACCCCAGTGTGAGCCACACAGTTTAGGGTTAAGACTCCAGTGTGAGCGGCATGTAAAGCTTTAATGACACTCAGATCTACTTCCAGGAATCCTCTGACCAGGGGAATAATTACGTAAAATTCTGTTGCGTAAGAATCAGCCCAATTAAAAGCAGCTCATAAGCATCCATGGGGAGGGTGGTGGCAGTGAGTGAAAAATAAGTGAAATTCTTATGATGAGTCTGAGTCTGGTCCCTGATGACGTGGGACGGCTCTTCTTCAGGTAATATTAATTAAACTCTATAATGCTGAGGCGCTCCAGTATCTGTTCCCACTTTTGCTCGGAGAATTGAATCCACCATGACTTCTTTCTGGCTCCAATATCTGGAATAAGGGCCTAATCATTCAGTCTATTTACATTCCAGTGTGCTGAGTCTGTGAGCCAGATGGTCCAGGCCCACCTGACCTGATTCTGGGCAGCCAATAGAAGGACACCGTAGGCGTCGGCAACCAGACAGTCACATGTTTAGCAGAACAGAAAGGAGCAGGGTATGTAATGTTAAGTACTGCTGGAAATATACCCCACTGTATAGACGTATTGAGCTGTACAGCGAGCATTGGATCAAATGGTCAACAAAGAAAAATTTAAACAATACGACTGACGTTTGTCCTGGTTGAGTCTGCGGGGTTGTGGAACATCTCTTTACTCTGCAGTACTGCTGTCATGTGGGACTAACTCTTTAATAAACACTTAAACAGGCCTGGTGGTTGTCGTGTAAAGTCATTTTGTGTGCAGGGATTGTTCAAACAAAAAGCTCATTAACATTTTGTACCTTAAATTTTTTTATATGCAAAGCACAAAAAAAACACAAAACAAATACAGCTACAATAAGCTATGTGATGCAAAGTATTTAAATGGAGTAAATGAATCATAGTTGAATGCTGCTTCTGTAATATGGGGTTGTTTTCCTGCATGAGCACTGATTTAACAACAAAACCAGTATTGGTTTTGTTATTGGTTTTGTTGTTTATTGACTTCATTTAGTGAAATGAAGGTCTGTTTTCCTATTTCATCCTTCAGGATTTAATATATGCACTTTATATATGCAAACGAAGCCACAAAACTATTTGCTGGCTTTCAAAAAAAAAAAAAAAAGCATTTTAAAATAATAATCAGGGCAAGTAATTCCCAATGCATTTGAAAGTATTCCATTGACTTAAGTGAAATAAAAATTTTGCTAACATATCATGAGAATACATTAAGTAAACAAGTGAATAGAGGTGAAAGGTCCTAACATGTCATTAGAGAACTAAATGCTATTGTAGTTATTACTGACTGATGTTTGTTTTAAAAAAGAAATATTTGACAGCTAACCAGTGAGAGATGTGATGACTATGGATGTCTTTGTCCCCAGTAGAATTTCAGGCTCAGAATGAGATTTGATTACAGCTTCAGTGTATTTCAGGCAACGTCCCGATCAGTATTCACCTCTGCTGTGTGTTCAGGTAACAGGTAAATAACCTTTAAGGTTCTTTGTGTCATGGGCAGCACCTATAACACTTCAGAGATGTGGAAAGAGGCAAACCCATGAGCATTTGCTGACCACCAAGCGCTTCTGGTTACCAAAGGTCAGCCCTCTCGGGATCTCTTGGTATGTTTTGGGGTGGTGCCGGGGGGGTGGTCATGGAACCATGTGGGGAGACCTATATGGTACGGCGTCAGAGGATGGGGGAAGGGGGGGACCACCTTGTCCTGGAGCACTTTCCCCCCGCTCCCACCATGGGGGTGAGGCAGCTGTGGTGTCATGTGACAGAACATGGCATTCCATGTGGACTCCTCATGTTGGTCAAAGTTTTGACAGGCAGCAAGAATGCCAACAGACACAAGAAACACAATACGCCCTAAAAGCAGCCTGAGTAAAAGAAGTTTTCATCTGAAAGGGTCTCTAATAGGGACACTGCTAAACTATATTTAAGTGCCCCCTGCAGAGAATGTGCACTGTATATTTACAAATCATTATTATTCTCCAGTGACCCTGACCAGAATAAGCAGTTAGACAATGCATGGATTAATGCATTATCATTCGACTCACTTTCATGATCACTTATGCTATCAATACTCGTCTAAAGGCTTTATTTGAAGTGACTTACAATTCCAACCATTTATTCAGCTGGGTATTTTATTGGGGAACTTCAGGTCAAGCGCTTTTATTTTCATGGGTTTTGAATCAACAAGACTTAGTCTGGCTGGGAGGGTGAACAGTTTTTTAAGAGGGGGTTGGGAGAGCGGGGAATGGGAGCTGATTGGATGTAGTGAGGAGGAATGAAAACAAGACAGCTGTGTCAGAGTCAGCAGGGGAAGGACACGCGTCTGGTCATAGGAGAGCTACGGAGACGGCTTGGGTGCTAGGGCCCGTCCTTACAGGCTAGAGGAACTGACACTCAATCTCAGCCAACCAATGGGAATGAGGGGCAGGTGAAGGGAATGAAAGCGCTCGTCAGATGACTCCACCCCCCCAGTTCATGCCACCTCGTTTTGAGTTAACACTCACACTACTGCTAGTAATCATTTGACTCATTTTCTGATGTATTTAATTATTTTAATTATTCTGTTTTCTGAGACCATGCGTGTCTGCAGCTGAAAAAGCATGTCTTTTATGTATAATTGTTTTGGGATTTGTTTTGTCAGTACTTTTAAAATAACTCGTGGGGGACCCAAAGTCGAGGGCTGGTTTTTAATCTGAATCCATGTCTGAGGATGAGTTTCGCTTTGTAACAAAACAAATGCAATACAATATGTGTTATTCTTGATATTGCATGGATCGCATTACTGTAAGATTAGAAAAGGGGAAAACTATTCTCATATACAAACATTATATGCCTGAAACACTTAAGAGTGATTAAAATTTGGACCAAAACTTTCTGGCATAACTGGAAAACATTGTAACAGTTTG